CCTACATACCGTAACGGTTTTGTCCACCACCCTCATCCCGTCATTATAGGTTACAGGGAAGACAAAATGATCCCAAACGTGCGACTTAAATGACGCCGGGGCTTCTCAAGTTCCTCCGCTCACCATGACTTTCACCGTAAAATGCTTCTAACACGCTCCGTTCACGTGAACACACTACTGCTTTATATCTGTTCACTGACACTCTGCATTGATATTCAGGGACTTGTTACTTGAAAAGGAACAGCAGTAGTAGAACTGTATTACACACTATGATGATTAAACTGTTTAGATGAAGTTATTTTGAGCGTTGATGGAGCAGCTACGATGTTAGCATAGCCTAGCACTGATCGATCCAAACTCTACATGGAGGTAAGCCCCGCCTCCTCTCAAGCGCTTCTGGCAAATAAAGTAATGCAAATAAACACAAATATTCCTGCAGTCAAACTACGTAATGTGAGGATGACATGTTGCTTGCCGTTTTGGTGTAAAACCCAAAATAAGAGTGAAGAGGGGAGGCGGGAGGTCAGACAAGAGAGGCAGGGAGGACGACGAGGATAGAGGAGGAGGAAGGGGAGGAGTAAAAAGAGACGGAGAGGAAGAATAACGAGCTAACACTCACACTGATGTCTACAATGTGTGTGTGTGTGTGTGTGTGTGAGAGAGACTTTAAACATGAACGCTGGAGTTCACAGAAGACAAAAAGTTTCTTTCACTAAATGATTTCCTGATCAATATGAAACTAAGACACTGTTTATTAATCAAATATTATTTATCTATTTGTATTTTGCAGATCACCACATTGTTATAACAGAAACGTAAAGATTGGATTATTATATATAATTTGATCACATGATCACCTCATCAATGTGATCAATATTTGAGCTTTTTTTCATTCGTTTTGGGGTTTCTGTTTTTAATAAAATATGCGTAATAATAATGAATATAAAGATGTTTTCTTTATATTCATTGATTTGTAAATTTTCCTCTTTTTAGAATTTTTATTCTTATTCTATTTTTATAGAAATCTCTTTTGACAGATGGGAGAGTCTGTAACAATAACGAACAAAAACGTGATTTAAGAGCTGATTTACATAATATTATCATGTGTATTATTAACATGATATTTAGATATTTTAAATAACAGGAATATATCGATGCCCCTCAACTTTATTTTGTTACTTTATGATGATTGCATATTATTATTATTATTATTGTTATTGCTATGTTACTCAGCTCATTAGATGAAGTGAGAAGGAAACAGTTTCATTTTCTGTCTCCATTTCTGAACTCAGAGAGCAGGTGAGTGTGTGTGTAGGTGAGTGTGTGTGTGTGTGTGTGTGTGTGTAGGGGGGTGTGTGTGAGTGTGTGTGTCAGTCTATTAATTCTCGGTGTGTCCGGCCCCCAGAGCTTCTCCACAACAATAGAGAGTCATCGGAGGCCCGGGGCCTGATGGAGGAATGTCTGGCTGACGCCGTATCTTAAAGGAGCACTAATTCAATTAAGAGACGGGTTACAGACGGACAGGAGGAGGAGGAGGAGGAGGAGGAAGAAGAGGAGGAGGAGAAGGAAGAGGAGGAGGAGTAAAGAGTAACTTATTCTCTCTGAAACTCTTGTTTCTGCTCATCAGCAGCTGGTTCATCTTCTCACCTCGCTGCAGTGATGTAGAGGTGTACTGCAGGACGCTGTGACATCACTGATGGGTGTGGTTACAGGTGACCACGAGTCGTGTTTTCATTCACGTACTTTTATGCTTTTCTGAAAAGCTTTATGGAAACGGCAACATTTTGATAAAACTTCCTCAATTGAGCAAAACTAGACTTTTGCTTTGTTTTGTTTACGGGTTTTAAACTCTCTTTCTTCTTCTTCTTCTTCTTCTTCTGCTGTTTACCTGCAGATTACAGCCGTGCAAAGCCGATAGCGCCACCTTCTGACCAAACTAACGCAGGCTGGTCTCATCCAGCGTTCGTAGCTTTACCCACGAAAAACAATGTGTCGTAATACGTAGATATCCCACGAAACCAATTGGTATGTAGTCCACATAATCATGAACCAGGAAGTATAAAGCCTGGTTCAGCTCACACTAGATGGTTGGACTTCACTTGACAATTAACTAACAATACAACGTCGATGTCCTGACTGACTCTTTGATGACACACTGGTTCATCAAACGACACGGCATCTGTCAAGAATGACTCGTGTTTCAGACAGCGGATGTTAAACGTTTACGTCACCCAAATTGTGAAAAAAAGAATTATGAATATAAATCATGAATCAAAGTTCATACTTTTTATTTTTCTCCATGTGATATGTGTTTGTGTACGTGAGTATGTTTTAGTGAGTGCTGGTCTGGAGGCAGCATTTTGATATGTGTTTTTATGTTTTTAGATATATGTATGTGTGTGTGTGTGTGTGAGTGTGTGTGTGTGTGCTCCTTCGACCTCTTCCGACCCCCGCTGCTTTCTCATTCTCAGCCGTACAGTAATAAGCTGAAGTCAGCGCAGAAATCGAACCCATTTACGAGTTCAAACGCCAAAAACAGACAAATGATCACTAAAATGGAGCCGACTTCTCTTAAAATGGAACTCCTTCCCTCCATCTCTGTGTGTGTCTCTCTCTCTCTCTGTGTCTCTCTCTCTCTCTCTCCATACAAATGTCTGCTATCAATATTTCCAATCTTCATTTCTCCAGAAGCTCAGGGCCTCTCTCTGCCAGAAATCAATGGCTTCCCACTGAGAGCTGTGACAAGGATCAAAAGTGAGAGCGGCTCGGCTCACTTTCTTCAGATAAAGTCTCATTTCTATACAGTCATCATTTAGGCAGCCTGTGTGTGTGTGTGTGTGTGTGTGTGTGTGTGTGTGTGTGTGTGTTTCTATCAATAATGCTAAATTACAACTCGACTCTGCCATAAATTGTTCTCTGCTGTTTGTGACATCTGGTATAAATATCAACAAACATGTTGATTTTACAGACAGATTTTGTGGTTGTTGTCACTGAAGGTTTCATTCATATTTTTTGTTCCTGATCAAACATCTTAATAACATGAATGGGAGATAAACAGTCCTCTTAAGTTTCCAGCTGGAGCGTAAAATTCGTTTTCAAGGAACTTTCACTTAGTGTTGATTCTGTCGCCCCCTGTGGACTAAAGCGGTAGTGTCTCTGAGCACCAGAGTCCCTTTAGAAAACCGCTCGTTACTGCAGCAGGGTCTGACAGTCTGCACCTCTCAGTCTCAATCTCTAGTTTCAAGTCTTCTTAAACACAGCATGATGTTCATTTAGTACATTATGGTCCATTTAGAGTCAAACAGACCATGAAGCAGGGTATGCTTTAGGGCGGGGCTACACAGTGATTGACAGGTCTCTACCAGAGACGTATACGGCATCTCTACGTCACTCCTCCTCAGTCCATATATGGTCACTTCCTGTTCACTGGCTGCAAGAAAAACAACATGGCGATGGCCATAATCCAAGATGGCGAAATCGAGCGTACTCAAGTCTTCAAAACCAACGGCGCTGTTATCCTTCATGCTTCAAACTGCTTTTTCGAAAAGAAAATCTGTCTGGAAATAATTGATTTTCCCACTTTGAAAAAATGTCCCTGCTTTCCAAAAGTGTGACTCTGATCATCACACATATTTAAAACAATACTAAAGGACACACACTCTTCATTCTACGACTAAACTTTAGAGGTTTAGAGACATTAGAGATCTAATAAAAGATGTTCATCAGATGAATCCTCACATCAAAAAGAAATGTTTTCTACAGTCATCTTTATATTCTGATGCATTCACTTGTTTACGTGTGTGGGTATGTTTGCATGTGTCACTTATTTGCATATTTATGTGTGGGTTTGTGCACAAAAACATACATGAATTAATGCACTTCTGTCTGCGTTTCTATTTCAGCGTGTGAGTGTGTGTGTGTGTTCCTGGTTGTCAGTCACACGGCAGGGCTAGGCTAATCAGCGCAGCTAGCTGTTCGCTGTGTGGTGCAGGCTGATTAATATCCTGTTAGCGTCCCGTGGCTTTTAAGGCTAACTGCTGTTTCCTCTATACATCCATCGCTTCACAACAGCGCTGCCTTCATCTGGCCTCATTAAGACGATGCATCACTATACTTAGCATCAACACACACGCACACGCACACACACACACACACACACACACACACACACAGCCAACGTGTTTTTATCTCAAAGCTTGATGCTGATTGGCCAAAGCTTTGTCACATATTTGAAAGTTAGTGAAGAAAAGTTACATGACACTGTACATGAATAAACACTCGAATTATTCGCTGTACTTCCTCGTCGTCTGTAGCTGGTATTTATGTGTGTTTTCTCAAGTATTTACTACCTTCATTTAGTATTTAGTTGATGCTCATAGTGTAGAAACAGTTTATTTAACTATCCCCACAATGAATCTCTTCCCGTAAAAACGTCAAATTTTATCTTAAACACGAAAGAAAACTTTACCTGATGACCAAAAATCATCTCGTTAGTTAACGAAATAAAAGCGCTTTGTAACGAAACGGGAACGTACTGTGCAGTATTAGCTTTTAGTGAAGGTGTCGAGATAAAGTTTACATTTGAGGAGTAATCTCTATTCGGAGGATTCATTTGTATGTTATTTAGGATTTCCATCTGAGGACTAAACTAAAACGCAACTGGGAAGTTTTTTGGAGGGTGAACTTTAACTTCATATGTTTTTTAGCTGGTTGAGCACAAACATCTTCGCTCATACTCGGAGCTCGCAGGCCGTCTGCGTAGGCACCAAGCACGAGTTTAAGCAAAACTTTAAAGAGACAGCCGGAGCGTCTCAGGCAGACAGTATGATAAGAAATAAAGTGTGTTTGAACATAAGAGCACGTAAACATGTTCTCGTAGAAACCCAAAATACAACCATGACCCTGAAAATGAGCACGGTGTGTCCCCTTTAACCAAAGCTCAACCATGTCTGCAGACCGTCAGAGAGACATTCCAACAAGAAGCCACAGCTGGCCGGTACCTTGAAGCTCTGGAGCTGCTCCGAGGCGTCTTTGTCTCGTCCCAGGCAGGAGTTGAAGATGAGGAGCTCCGTGTCTCGCAGCCACGCCTTCAGCTCTTTGATGCGAGCCTCCAGCTGCTCCAGCAGCGAGTTGGTCAGCGGCGAGAGGGCCGAGCGGGGGTTCTCCACGGCGACGCCCGGACCGCCGCCGGCCAGCAAGGAGTCCGCGGTCGAGCCGGGTCCCGAATGGTCCGAGAGGATTTTCTGACGGACGACAGAAGAGAGTTAAAGAGTGAGGGATCATCGTTGTGTCAATGTCCTATCATGCAAATCAATAGAGACACGATCATTCATCATTGCACTTGGAGAGGCACAGATCAATAACAGGGAAGGCATGTAGTCATTCCTGCACTGCTGCAGGATCGTGTGAGCGTGTGAAACAATAATCACAATGTTGTTGTTCACATTAGTTGACTTTGTTTATGGTTTTTCTTTCAGCGTTGCTGCATATGAAGTCATGTTCTCTGATTCTAGATTCATATTAACACCAGTAGTGCAAAAAGTATCTCTACCGTTTACTGCAGTAAAAGTACCGATAAAGTTTCCAGAACATGTATAACGATAAAAAAACACAATATAAAATGTCATAGAAGAGTAAAGATGATTACGTATATGATGAGACAGGTACTCGCTAATAGCCAAACTGTTAGTACTGTTGTTATTTTGATCATGCACGTTTACTTATTTTCTCCAGAGATCGTATGTCGGGGACTGTTCTATTGTGTAAAAAATGTAAAAAATTAAAATGTCCACAAAAAGAAAAAGTCAGACTGCCTCCTTTTGTTACATAATGATTCATTCGTACACTGTCGCTAATGTTGTTATCGTAACTGTGAATTAGCTGGATTTTGCTAATGCTGCCGTCATCTGTTGTTGTTGTTGTTGCTGTTGTGTGAACAAAGCTTTCAGAGGAACTGGTGGTTTTCCAGGTGCAAACAGATCAGCTGCTAATTCAGAGCTGATATTCACACGCACAGCAAAACACCATTTAGACACAATTCAAACTGAGCGAGTGTTTGGTGAGAAGCAATCACTGTTTCAAATAGGAGCAACTTACAATAACAAGAGAGTCCAAGTGTGTGTGTGTGTGTGTGAACGCTCTGAAGAGTAATTTTCCAACCCCTGTTGATCACACAGTCAGACACAGCAAGCCGCTGAGAGAGTCTATTCCCCACTTGGGTTTAGAGTGTGTGTGTGTGTGTGTTTTTGTGTTTTTTTTCCTGAAAAGTGCTCATCAATACAGAACAAACAAACTTGTGATGTTCTTTGGCGATCACAACGAGCTGCTGTGAAACACAGGGTCACCAGTGAGGTGCTGGTTTGTACTCTGAGGCGTCGGCCATGTTGATAACGATAAGGATGGAGTGTCGCATGTCAATATGTTTCTTCTTCAGTGGTGGAACGTACGTTTACTCGATTACTGTGATAGAAGTGCAGTTTTGATGTAGTTGTACATGTTATCCTACGAGCATGTTTCTACTCCACAACATGTTGAACTCAACGTGTCCTCACACAACCATATCTTAGGAAAAGTTACTTTTTCCAGCAACACGTCAATTTCCGCTCGTTACATGAATACAAAATACATTTCCCAACAAACGTCTCTTCACAGGAAACTACTTGGTTAGATTAGGAGAGCAATCCATGTTTTGTTCCTTTACAGTTTATGTGTGAACTTCACAATAGTTGTGCAGAACAAAATAAGCATGAATAAGAAAAGGAAAGTCTTCTCTTTTGTGTCATCGTCTTCCTTAAAGCATCAAACCATGACGTCAAAGATCCGCTCCGTAGGTCTGATAACGCGCTGGACACGCCGCTCGCTAATCGCTCCAATAGTGGCTGCTTCCTCCAATAGTGGCTGCTTCCTCCAATAGTGGCTGCTTCCTCCAATAGTGGCTGCTTCCTCCAATAGTGGCTGCTTCCTCGGCGGTGGTAGAATTATAAAATGCTTTACAACAGCTGCTAGAATCGGCAACTAGGCCAGTAACGCTTGTAATCCGTTATCCGTGTTATAAGGAATTCCTGGTAGACCTGGCTGTTTGTTGTCTTCCGGAAAAAGGATCACGTGATAGGGCCGTGACGAATCAGGGAAGGACACGTCGAGACTGCCGAGACCCAATCAAGTAGCGACCGCGGGGGTCTACGTCATCGTTTCCAAAGTTTTTAAACTAAACCTCCAGATTAGTGTGGACGCTCAGTGTAAAGGTAGCAGAACATATGTGTTTTTAAAAACGTAGTCGTGTGGATGTCTGGTGAACACAGAGCTGCTGCTGAACGAGCCCCGCATGGGTCCCTGCTGCTCATTTGCGTTTGTATGTGTTTGTACAAAAGGCTTTGAGTCGTCGGTACGGCAGAGACTCTCCCTCCTGAGTGGAAACACTACTTTAGCCGAACTCTGGCAGGTAAAAAAACGATGATGAGGGCCGATTAAAGGACCCCCTGACCGGTGAAATGAGCAGTCGGTAGTGTGTTCAGAGGAGACAACGCGATTACGAGTCTGTTAGTTTGTCAGAGAGAAACAGAGAAACAGAGAAACAGAGGCAGCAGAGACGAGGACGTGGCTATCCTCAGATATAATTAGGAGATATAAAGACAAAAACATGACATCTTCTCTGAAGTCACTTGGTTGAAGTGATTTTGTCGAACTGAAAACAGATGAAGTGAAACTAAAGAGACCCCTCTGAACCCCGAGACGCTTCGGGGCCGCTTTCTCTCTGTGGTCTTGATTTTCACTACAAAATAAAAGTCCTGCTCCTCTATGAAACAGAACCATCGTGACTAGAAGCAGAGAGAACTAGAACATTTCCATGTTACGTTAACAGTGCGGTAAAGGCTTTGATGAGTGTTTTATGTACTAATGACTTTTAATTTCTCATGAAATCAGCATCCGCTGACTTTAAACGACCATCAGCTTTAATGCAGATAGAATCTCTTTGCAAGGCTACACATTGTGTATCTAAGAGCAGCACTGAGAGGTGAATCATTATGAGACAACAAAGAAGAGAAAGAGGGCCGTTGAATAGAGCCAGAAAAGAAACCAAATGAAGAACAAGAACAAAAGAGTATTCTGGGGGAAAGAGAGAAAATGTGGGAATGCAAATGAGCAAATGAAACAGATCCAGTGGGAGAGACTGAAAATGAGAAAAGAAAATTAACAATAAGAGAGATAAAGAGCAGAGGAGAGCGAGTGAAACAGAGAGATGTTGTTTTCCCTGCAGGTTGAACTGGTGAGCGACTCCTGCCTTTCACAGGGCTGATGGGAAAAAAACATTTTAAATGTTCATTTACCTGCAGCTGAAATAAAAACAAAGCACCTCTGTTTGTTTGTCGTGTTTCTGTTACTTGCTTTCAGTTCTTCGTTTTTGGCAATTTTATCAACTGGAGGAAGTCTTTCTGTGTTTATATACTGCAACATATATCTATGATTTATCATTTGAATCCATCTATCTGTCCATCCGTCCGTCTATCTGTCAATCTGTCTGTGAGTCCGTCCGTCCGTGAGTGTCTGAGTCAGTCTGTCTGTCTCTCTCTCTCTGTGTCTCTCTGTCTGTCTGTCTCTATGTCTGTGAGTCTGTGAGTCTGTCTGTCTGTATGTCTGAGTCTGTCTGTCTGTCTCTCTGTGAGTCTGTCTGTATGTCTGAGTCTGTCTGTCTGTCTGTCTGTCTGTCTCTCTGTCTGTCTGTATGTCTGAGTCTGTCTGTCTGTCTCTCTGTCTGTCTCTCTGTCTGTCTGTCTGTCTGTGAGTCTGTCTGTAT